AATACATTTTAAAAATAATACCATCCAAACTACATGCTTAAACATGTGACTGATGACCTAATATGAATAATTCATTACTCAAGAATTATGAACAGCTACTTTGTTGTATTGAGTAACATGATATTATTATAAATATACTGTTCTAGACATTTGTTTAAAATTCCAAGGAAAAAAATGATGTATCTAATCATAACATTAGGTGGTGATCATTGATTTCAGAAATTAAATTATGAAAATATTTCTGACATACATATTTTTTTAACTAAGAAAACATTTAGTGCTGCTTACATTTCAGAATGAAAGAACTAAAAAATTTGCAAGGCTATACAGTACCATTTCTACCTATTTGGGCTGCTCACCCCCACTCCATCTTTTTCCTTCAAATGCTATAATCCAATAATTCTCAAATTTGTTGGTCTCATGCCCTTTACACTCTTAAAAATTACTGAGTATCCTAAAGAGCTTTCCCTAATGTGGGTCATAAGCAAATAATGATCAATGTTTTCCTTGTTAGAAATGAAGACTGAGAAAATTTAAAAGATGGGTGGATTCATTTTAAAATAAAAATAATACACCCATACTTGTTAGCACAAATATTTTTGATAAAAAATAACGATTTTCCAAAACAAAACAAAAAATAAGAATTACTTTGTTTTAAATTTTTTTAATCCCCTAGTGTCTAGATTATTAGTATATAGCTGGATTCTCGTATTTGTTTATAGATTCAATCTGTTGAAATATAACATATCAGCCCTGGCTGGTGTGGCTCAGTTGGTTGGGCTTCCCTCCAGTGCACCAAAACATTGTGGGCTGAATCTGAAGTAGAGGGCATGCAGGAGGCAGCCAATCTATGTTTCTCTCTCTCATCAATGTTTCTATTTCTCTCGCCCTCTCCCTTCCTCTCTCTGAAAGGAATTAAAAAAAAATTGATAAAAATTCTGCAAAAAAATACAAATAAGCAAAACTATAAATGCAGAACTGCTATAATCCCACCTGCCAGGAGAAAACCATATTGGCAGGTATCCTCTACATACTTTCTCTGCATATATTTGCATGATTTTAAAGCAAAAATGGGATTCTTTCCCATAAATTGTCCATTATTCAATTGAATTTCACTGTCTTTACTTTTTTTTTAATCCTCACCTGAGGATATTTTTTCCATTGCTTTTCAGAGAGAGTGGAAGGCAGAGAGGAGGGGAGGAGAGAGAGAAAAACATCAATGTGAAGGAGACACATCCATTGGTTGCCTCCTGCATGTGACCTGAGCCTCCAACCAACATGTACGTGTTGAACCCAGGACCCTTCAGTCCGTGGGCCAATGCTCTAACCACTGAGCAAACAGCTAGGTCATCACTGTCTTTATTATTGACTATTTAGTTCATTTCTAATTTTTTGCTGTTATAAACATTACAGAGCAGGGATAACTGTAGAGGATGACTTAGAAAGGAAGGAAATGTGGAGGGGGGGACAAAAGCAAAAAAATTCTGAAAAATGGACAAAACTGCTTAGAGTTATATAAAAGTGAACAAAAATTATCCTTTATGGCATGTGAAAAGTATCACTACACAGAGTCCCTGGGAATAATAATTTTTTATCAAGTTATAATTTTGATCAAACTGTCATCTTAACTAACATGTTTCCTTCCAGTGCGGACCCACTCACTTGTTCTCACTCCTGGTCCTGCTCCAGTCTCTGTCTGTCCTGTGTGCGATGGCATTTCATTATAGCCGCTTCCTGCCAGCTGAAGCACCTCCCTCATCTCCTTTCTTTCTAGAACATCTGCCATGCTAATTTCTAGTTTTTGACTAATTCTACCATCTACTTTCTGCCCTCCTTCCTCCAGGCTGCTCAGCACTGCTGGAGAAAAATCATGCAACTTGTTTCACTAGGTGTCACTAGGTGCGTTTGCTCTCCAGCCTGGGCTGGCCCGCTGTGCCTCTGGTCTTGTCTCTCCTCTGAATCTCCACAATTTGCTTGTCCTTCCTCTAACTGCACGTCCTGAGTTACAGTCCTCCATCTCATTAAGCCTTGGATTCTCAGTTTGTAAACTAAAAGTAATATTAGCTACCTTGGACAGGAGTGGAAGTAAGAATGATGTTTCTAATATATTAAGAGATGAGAAAGAAAAAGATTTCCTCCTGAGAATTAAACTAGAAAATTCCCAAACAGTGAAGGTGACTGCATCTATGGTGTGTACATCAAAAAGCTGTCTGTCAATGTGTGACTTAATGATTTGGAAATGCACAAAACTCCAAGCAGCAGGAGGGCAGTGGTAGTAAACAGCCTGCGCACTGGAGACATCGAGCAAATTAGAGAAGCTTCGTACACAGCAGATTCCACTTGGAGTGTCCCCAAGGCTTCCTGCCTCCTCAGTGTCAAGGCTTTTGCCCACCCACCTGTGCTTTAATCAGGGGGTGGGAGACCCAGTCCAGACATTTTCTGTCTTTGCTGTCTAAGCCCAAAGCCAGAAACTATCAAAGACACTCAGTAAACTCATTTTATTTCTTAAATGTTCAATGAACATATCGTATTCCAAAAATGACTTTCCCTATCCTTTTTGGTTGATGATATTTTAAGCATTCCTTGAAAGCTTAGCCTGAGCACTCTAGTCCTAAGCATGTTGTCTTACCGCCAGAATGTTCCCCTTCTCATGAGGTGAGGCTGGTCCTGGAAGCTCTGGGAATAACATTAATCTAGGAATGAGGATTTCTGTCCTAATGCTGTACTAATATTTTATTTAGGATTTTTAGATTTAGAGTCATAAGTGGGAATGGCCTACAGTTTTCTTTGGGTATCTATATTTGTTGGGTATCACAACTGTGCTGGCTCCATACAAGACATTTGAATATTTCCTTCTTTTTCTAGGGTCTGAAACAGTACCTCAGAATTCATTGGCCCTAACGGCCTGGTAAAATTCCCCTGTGGGAACATCTGGACCTGGTGCTATTTTGGAGAGTAGCTCTTTGCTCTTCTTCCCCATTTCTACCATGGCAGTTGGTCTGTTAAAATGTTATATCTCGTTTAAAGTCCATTTTAAGAAATTATACTGTCCTGTAGTTATTTATTTTATCCAGATTTTCCAATGTATTTGCTAAAACTGAACAAAGTCATTTCTTAAGCTAATTGTACTTTCCTCTGCATCTGGAGTTAATTTTCCTTATTCCATATTTTGTATATTTTTGCTTTCTCCCCTTTTTCTTGTTCAGTTAAGAGTTCACCTATTTATTGCCTACGAATCAGTTCTTAGATTTATTGTTTCAATTCTATATTTTTCTGTTTTACACATCTTCGTTTTAGTATTTTATCTTTATTAATTACATCCTTTTGCTTTTCAAAGGTTTATTTTGTTGTATTTCTAACTTCTTACATGAGTGCTTAATTAATTTAGTTTATTATTATAACTTTTTAATTAATTAGTACTATTTTAGTAAAATTCCTTGGGTTCTGATATGTCATTTTCATACTTGTCTAGGTATTGTCTATTTGGTTTTTTGTTCTCCTTTTTGATCCAAATGTTATCTGAACATTAAAAAATTTCCAAGTAGTAGGAATATTTTATTTTCTGTTTTGTCACTAATTTCTAGTTTTTAAAAATTCTACTTATTGGAATATATTAAGATATTATCTGTAGCCTAAAATATGGCCAGTAGTTGTGAATGTTCCAAGGATACTTGAATAGGTGTAATCTCTGTGTCAGGGTACAGACTATTTATTTTCTTTATATATCCTATAATCTTTGTTATGAATAATGAAATTGTTATTCAGTGCATAGATATTCCTATATCTTCATTGTGAATTGTAACTCTTATGATTATAAAATGCTCTTCTTGGTCTCATTCAGTGCTTTCTGCCATGAAATCAACCCTGTGTAAGGTTGTGATTGCGAGCCCTGATTTCTTTATGTTTGCATATTCCTGAGATAGCTTTTCTATTCTTGTATTTCCAAACTTTCAAAATCACTCTATCTTGTATACAACATAGCGTTGTGTTATGATTTGTGCTCCAATCTGAAGCTGTATATTTTAAATAGGCAAATTTAGCTCATTTATGTTTATTCATGTAAGATGTTTGATCTTAGTTCTGTCATATTGTTAGGCTTTCTGTTTTGTAATTTTTTTCACTTATTTCACTATGTGATTTTGTTTGATTTGTTGTAGTTTTATGTCTGTGTTTTGATCATTTGAAAGGTTTGTATTTTTGTTGTGGGTTACAAATAATAATTATAAATTACCTGGTGCCCTTAATCATCTATTTCTTTAAAGTGTCTATTCACTCCTTACTATATTTCTTTATTTTCTTTTTTCTCAATTGCCATATTTTAGTTGATTATATTCTTTCTCAGTATGTTCCGTTGTCTTAAAGATATAAACTAAAATCTCTATTTGATTTACCAGCTTGAAATATTTTACCCACGATTATAGATATGAAAATCATATTTACACAAAATCCCATTTTCTCTTTTCCTCCCAACTTTTGTTAAATCGTTTTTAAATTGTGAGGCTTTATGTTATTTATGTAACCTTAAGCTCCGTATCGTTTCCTTAGTCGTATAGTTAATTCAATGTTTGTTGCCATTTCTTTTGCATCAGTTTTTCCATTCACCTCACCTAATGGTGATTAATGTTCAACAACATGCATCCAGATGAATGGAATTGCTTTGAATGAATGAGAATGAAGGACTGGAAGGATTCTCCCCCTCTCTCCTACTAGAACACAGTTGGCTCCCAAGGACTATCTTTGCATCCTTGCACCATTTCTCTTCCTCGCCATCCAGAGTCAGTGCAAAGCTGTGAAATTTCACAAACAAACTTGCGCCACCGCGACACCTCTTGGCGGAAGCGTAGGATGCCGACGGAGGGGCGGTGCAGTGCGGTCCTCCCGCCGGCAAGGGGCGCCGTGGGCAGGAGACTGCGGCGTAGGTGAGTCTCTCCCTGCCGCACGCTTACCTGACCCCGCTCTGGCACGCGCCCTGCGGATTCGGCGTAGGGGTTGGCGCCGGCTGCGGTTCCGGCCGTCACGGGCTTAGGCCGAGTGCGCCCAGCCTTGCCTCACGGCGGCGCCTGGGCCTTGGTGCACCGCCGCGGCCCATGGGGAGAGTCGGCCTGGCCGGCCGGGTAAGTAGCACCCCCGGGGGGAGGCACTGAGATGGGTGGCCCGGCGGGGAGGGGGGCGGGAGCGCCTCTCCGGGGGAGGGTTGGACGTGAGACCGCGGGTTTAGGCCGCGTCGCTCTGGGGCGGAGGACCCGGGCCGGTCCCCCGAGCCGCCGGCGCCCGCGGACTCCAGGCGGACCCCCGTCCCGCCGACCCCCTGTTTCCCTTTGCTCCCCGCCGCCGCTTTCCTATTTACCTCGGGTTACCGGGGCCTCGAGCTCTGCCTCTGTTCTCCCGATTCTTCCTTTTACCGTCTGGTTCCGTCTGCGTTGGACTCGAGGACGTTTTTCTCTCCCCTCGATTGGTCATGTTTTGTAAAAGTTGCCGGGTCCCTAGACCCCGGTCGCCAGGCCTGTGTCACCTGTGTCACTTTCACTCCTCTGAGGCCGAGGCAGTGGAGAAGAGAGCAGCTGTTTCCTTCCCGGGCGGTGGAACTCCTGAAGTCGATGTCCCTCAAAGACGAGTTGTTTTCCTGGACAGGTGAAGGAAGACGTGGCTCCGGCGTTACCTCGGTCCGTGTCCTTTGAAAGCGATGTTTTAGCTCTGGTGTTCAAACAACAAGCAGGCATTTTCTGAGCGTCACCTCTTGCCCAGACCGTCTGTTATGAACAGCAGTTGCAAAATAATTAAGACACTGTTCCTGCTCTCGGAGTTTGGTCTCTAGGGAAACAGTCAAAAAACCCATGCCTGGGTTGATCCGAAGGACTAGGATGGGGTCTGGAAATGCTTCCAAGAGGAAGTGATGCTTATAACTGAGTCTTGGAGGTGTTTTATTAGATGTGCAAGATGCGAAAAGGTTCCCTGCAGAGGAAAGGAGTGTAAAGGTAGCTTCTGCTACCAGAAGCACCATAGTGCATTCTGGGAGAACTGCAAGTAATGCAGAGAGGGAGCTTTGAGGAGAGGTAGTCGGGTCAGATCAAAAGGTTCTTTGAGAAGTCAGTAAAGGAGAGCCAGCTTTGAAGGTACTGATTGCTAGAACCAGGAGAATGGGTGGAAAATACATTCTAGATACGGGCAAATTGATGTGTAGATGCAGATAGATGAGGGCTGTATCTCCCAGTAACAGCTGGAGTTTTTAAAGAGGCAACTCAGTTTCCACATTTTTATGGGATAAAGGTCGCAGACATTTTGACTATAATAAAGATATTCAGGGAATATGGGGCAATAAAGTAGTAACTTAAACCGAGGGTGTTCTATTTTTAGAATTTTATTAAGAAATGTGCTGCAAGCTGTACAGTGTAGAATAGATTGTGAGACAGACAAAAATATAACCTGGTGTAATAGAAATGTTAACAGTGAAGAGCTATTCTGATTGTGGAGCTCTGTGATGACTAAGGATAGTCTTTATGGAAAATGAGAATTGGGGGAGAATTGTGCATTCTCAAATGTAACTTTATAAAGTGGATTTCTTTTTAAAAAATTTTTGTTTATTGATTTTTAGAAACAGAAAGGGGGAGAGAGACAGACATCGATTTGTTGTTCCACCTGTTTATGCATTCATTGGTTGATTCTTGTATGTGCCCTGACTGAGGATTCAACCTGAAACCCTGACATATCAGAAGGATGTTCTAACCAACTGAGGTACCCGGCCAGGACAAGTAGATTTCTTTTTACCTGTTTGTTTTTTGTTTAAATATGTTTTTTTATTTTAGAGAGAGAGGAAGGGAGAGGGAGAGAAACATTGATCTGTTGCCTCAGGTATCCACCCCATCCCAGGACTGAACTGGCAACTTGGGCATGTGCCCTGACTGGGAATCAAACTGGTGACCGGGATGACACTCTACCAACTAAGCCACACTGGCAGGGCTACCTGGTTTGTTTTAAATTATCTTTATGGAACAGATGATCCAGGGCTGGTAATCTCTCTAGTCTTTCATAATAGTAAATCGTGAAGGATGTTTTGTTATACACTTAAATTGCAGGTGACTCCCATGGACTTTGTCTGGAATACACTCCAGCCTGTGTTATTTTGGTAATTATCAAATCTATGAGAATTGATGAAAATTGTAAACTGTGACAAAGGCGTCAGAAGTGGAGGTATAGGGAAATTGTAAAAAGTCTTTAAAAAGTCATCATGAATCTTATCTATGAGGCAGATGCTTTGTGTTACCTATATTCTTTTGTTGACATGGGTGTGCATTGCCCCTCATAGTTTTCCTTGTGTTCCTTTCTGTAGATGTATACTTCCCATATTCTTTAGGCTTCATTTTTTGTTCGTGGTACATGAATACCTGTTTAGTGATAAGAAGGTCTCTTACCAAGCTTGCTTCTTGAGGTGCTCAGAACTCAGACCTTGACTTATTATTAGTTGTGTGGTTGTAGTATTTTTTGTCCCATAAATTATAGTATACTGTTTAAAATTTACCATACTTATATCAGATCCCACTTACCATAAGTTAATATCCTGAGAAGTCAGATCTGCAGATCTTATTGTTTCATGATAATATGGTTTAAGTGGTTTAAAATGCATTAACATTTTCCATCCACTTGCAGATACAATTAGAAAATATTTATAAAGTGCTTACAATTTTCCAAGCATGGTGCTAAGCTAGAGATACAAGAATGAAGTCAAGAACAGCCGTTACATGAGGCATAACATGTAAAAGTTGCCCTGAGCCAGTTGTGTTCAGGGGAAACAAAATGGAGATAGTTTTATGTGTGAGTAGTAGTCACGAAAGGCTTGAAAGATGAGTGGGATACTTCTGAGAAAACTTCTTCTATGTTCTTTTTCTGCCAGTGGGGCATGTTTAAAAAAATATACTTTGCCAGCCTAGGTAGAATCTTGAAAAGTTATTGTTCTGCTAGCAGAACCATGTTTACTGTGTTTCTTCTTAAATGGAGCATATATGAAAGATGTGTTGATCAAAAGGTGGAGATAACAATAAAAAAGAAGTAAATAGCAGTTATATTAAGTTGTAAAAGTCAGCTATTTGTATTTGCATTTGATCCTGGCTGCGTAAGGTATATCCAAATGTTAGAAAGTGCTGCTTTTTATTTTCTGGCACAAGACATCATGAAATAAATGTGTTTGTTGTATCATCTAAGTAACACCTTGACATGAATTAAGTTCAGGTGCTGGCTGTTTGTCAATGCATTTGTTACATTCAGTGGTAGCAGTGGGGAGAATGAACGAATCAACTATGATATTTTTATAAGTGCTTACAACACCTAAAATAAAAAATACACCTTTTAAGGAATAGATGCAATAAAGCTATGTAAATAAAATTATATAAAAGGAGGAAAACAAGGAATTAATGAGAATGGAATTCAGAGCCAGGAAAATCACTTGAATGGGATAGGTTCTTGTTCAGATCTTGTCTCTTGTTTTGGGTGGTGAAATCACTGGAGCTTGTAGCATTATAGTAAGTAATTAAAAACAGGCCATGTGTGCATGGATGGATGATGAATGTGTTGTTGCTGTGATTAATGCAGTCCTGTGGAGTTGAAGTTCAGTAAAAATAAGAAAGCTCTTTTGCATTTACTGTGATGCTGAGATCTGATTTATAAGCACTTTGTTGCAGAAACTAGCAGATGATGCTAAGATGACATCAGTTTCTAATATTTAAAGTGTGTTTTTGAAGGTTTTGAGAATAGAAGCAAGGAATTTTAAATTAACATAAGACTTGCTGCATAATGATTTCTGAAGCTTGCAGATCAAGGCAAATCAAGTGGAAATGTCAACAAACCATCTTCAATTTAGAAATAGACTCAGAGGAAGTATAGTCTCATGAAACCTCATTAATTCAGCCTTGAAATCCTTTTTAAATATTGGATTTTTAGCCCGGCCAGGTGTGGCTCAGCGATTGAGCATCGACCTAGGGTCCAGGCGATAGGGGTTTGATTCCTGGTCAGGGCACATGCCTGGGTTGCAGGTTCGATCAGTGACTCTCTCATCATTGATGTGTCTCTCTCTCTTCCTCTCCTTTCCCCTCTCTGAAATCAATAAAGATATATTTAAAACAAAACAAAACATATATATATATATCTTTATCAATAAAGATATATTTAAAACAAAACAAAACATATCTTTATCAATAAAGATATATTTAAAACAAAACATATATATATCTTTATCAATAAAGATATATTTAAAACAAAACATATATATATATATATGTATATATATATATATATCTTTATTGATCTCAGAGAGAGGAAAAGAGAGGGAGAGAGAGAGAAACATCAATGATGAGAGAGTCATTGATCGAACCTGCAACCCAGGCATGTGCCCTGACCGGGAATCGAACACCGATCGCCTGGATCCTAGGTCGATGCTCAGCCGCTGAGCCACACCCGCCTGGGCAATAAAGATATATTTTTAAAAATAATAAGAAAATAAAATAAATTGTAGTAAAATATATATAACATAAAATTTGCCATTGTCACCATGTTTAAGTGCACTGTACCATGGCATTAAGTACATTCACATTGTGCAACCATTACCACCATCCATCTCCAGACCCTTTGGCCTACTCTTTCTAGTGGAAGCTGTGGGCATATGTGATTTCACTCCTGATTCATGTGGCTAAGTAGACTTTATTTGAATATTAATATTTCAACAAATATTTATTTATTTATTTATTATTTACTTTTAAATTTTATTTTTGTTTAAAATATTACAGGTGTCCCTTTTTCTCCCCAATGACCCATTCCACCCCGTCCCATCCCTCTCCCCAGTCCCTCTCCCCACAGTTGCCCTTGTCCTTGGGTTGTGCATATATGCATATAAATTCTTTGATTATTCTCAACAAATATTTATTAAATGCCTACTCTGTGCCAGAAATTGGAGATGCAAAAATGAATAAGCTAATCTTCCCCTTTATAGTTTAGTGGGCATTTGACTAACCTATTTCTGTTTGTAAATACCTCATCTGATGAAGTTTTCAAGTTTTTTATGAAGAGGTATTGGAAGAAATAGAGTGAAGTTTGGGTTGCAAACCAGTTTTGATCATTTATCTTTATGTTTGTAATTTCCCAGAAAGCTTTGTTTAGATTTGTTTCCCAGAATGTGCTATTCTTCCCTTGCCTTTATAAGAATAAAGAAAGACAGAACAAATGAACCTGTAGTTTTTACTAGGTTTGGTTTGGTGACCAATTGGATGAAGAGGGCTCAAAAATTAAACTAGGGTAGATGAAAGATGTGTGGTCATTTCTCAAGTATGTTTTTTTGAGAACCACGGTGTTAAGCAGGACCTTCAGCGTTGTTGTTCTTGCTGATGCTCTGCTTGAGTTTTTCAGATTAAGTTTAAGGATATCTTATCTAAATTTTAATTTTAATTTAGATAAAGATGACTAGTTTTGAATGCCACGTAGGCTAGGGGGAAGTAGACTCTAGGAGGATTTCCTCTAAAGCTTTGAAGACAAGGTTGTATTTCAGCCATACTTAATTAAGAAATGTCTTTCATTATTTTTTCTTCATTTAGTTTTAGTGACTCAAGTTTAACGTGACAAGGCATTGCCAAGTTCCTGAATAAACTGTTTACTGTGTCTGGCACTGAAGACAGTGGGAATTTCCCTGTTGGATGTGCTCTCTAGGAAATTGTTGGTGCTGCTATCAGCTGAGCTGGGAGTTGTCACAGAAGCTTTAATGTCGGCATCCTTGGAATTTTAGGTGATTCATTGGAGCAGTCAGTCACCAGTATCCTGGGCCCTGCTTTTATTCACCCTGCTTTTGTGCTACCTTGGGGGCCTTTCATTAAGAAATCAAAACAGAGCCCCGCCAGAGTAGCTCAGCGGTTGAGCATCGACCTTTGATCCAGGAGATCGAGGTTTGATTCCTGGTCAAGGCACATGCCAGGGTTGTGGGCCTGATCCTCAGTAGGGGGTGTGCAGGAGGCAGCTGATCAGTGACTCACTCATCATTGATGTTTCTCTCTCCCTTCCTCTCTCTGAAATCAATAAAGATATATTTTTTAAAAAAGAAACCGAAACAGAGCTTTTAGGTAATCTGAGGATTTGTATATCAAGAAGCAGCAACAATGTAGTGGGGCACTGAATTCCAGGCAGAGAGAACTACAGTGCTCAAAACCAGAACAGCTATTCTGAGGGAGTAAAGTTGGTATCTACTCCATCACCCCCTCAAAGTGGAACCAAGGTTAGCTAAGGTGTTGGGGCAGCAGGGTATTAGAATACCGGATATAGAAGGGTAGAGAAGTAAGCATACAACAGAGAGAAATTTTTGCCCTGAGTCAGATATAACCCTGGGAGTAGATTTCCTTCTTGTTAATGTCTTCCTGAAACACAGACACAGGCTGAACAGGCTTTGTATATAACACAGTTTCTATGGCAAAATGCTGTCTGGGCCTGAGAACTGGCAAGACTTTTGGATGCGTTCAGAAATGGGAAGCTACTTGTGCTAAGCATTTATTTGCAATTTAGGGGTTTCAATCAAAAAATTATTTTTCCATCTGAGAAAGACTGATGTCTTATTTTGAGAAGTGGGTCATGTTGTGGGTTTCAGAATGTTGAGGTTTTTATAAAAGGTGGCAGTAGGGATTTACTAGCAAGGGCTGTGGTGTTCACCTGACTGGGTTTGAAATGACCTGGGGCAGATTTATCTCTGGAAGTCCCACCCAGTTTCCCATCTGTAATCTGGTGCTAGGCTTCTGCAGCAAATACTGCATTTACCTCCACTCTGGCCAGATAGTTTAATAAGTGTTAACTATTGTCTTTGTTTTTGTTGTTACTTTGTTTTCCTCTATTCTGCAGGGATATTGTATATTCATCATTCACATATAGCGTCATATCTTTTTGTAACCAATGTCATGAGGAAATCAGGATATTTAAGATCTAACCCTCTACACTCCCCTCAACAAGTAGTAATAAAATACATCACTTGATTAACCTATTTCTGTGAGATCATTTCTGTTTTGTTTTTTAATCTCTTAGGCATATGTTTAAATTTTTTCTCTATAAAAGGGTAGTTAATTGTGCTGAATGAATCTGGTGTTTTTGTAAGGTTTCAACTTTTTGCTGTTGAGACCAAATAGAATTTTTTAAATTGGATGTATGTAATTAATAATGTTACGAATCTAGAACTTTTCATCTTTAGCTCAGTATATGATGTAGAACATACCTATTTTACCAGTGAATTCCTTGACCACATGATCTTATTAATTCTAAAAGTTTATTTTTAAAATAATACATGCATATTAGAAGACACTGACTGGTGATACCAGATGTCTTGGCTTCTGTCACTGAAGGTTCCTAGACTAGGGGATCTCTTTAAATACATTTTACCTCTAAAATTCCTTGAAAATGACTTATTTTTAACACAAAACAATTTTGTTTGTTACTCCTCACCCAAGGATGTGTTTTCCATTGATTTTTAGAGAGAGTAGAAGGAAGGGAGGGAGGGAGGGCAGGGGGAGAGAGAGAGAAATATCCATGTGAGAGAGACACATCGATTGGCTGCCTCCCAAACGTACCCCGACTGGTGCTGGGGATGGAACCTGCAACCCAGGTATGTGCCCTTGATTGGGAATCGAACCCATGACCCTTCGGTGGGCAGGTTGGCACTAACCACTTAGCCACACCAGCCAGGGCAACACAAAAAAGATTTTAAATCTTTACTGTATTTTGCATTTTTTAATTCCCACCCCTCCTTGTCTTTTAGCATTAAACTGAAAAGATGTCCCTATATGATGATCTGGGAGTGGAGACTAGTGACTCGAAAACGGAAGGCTGGTCCAAAAACTTCAAACTTCTGCAGTCTCAGCTTCAGGTGAAAAAGGCAGCTCTCACTCAAGCAAAGGTAAGATAAGCCCACAGTAGAAGTAGAAGTCAACAGAGCAGGTTCCTCCTTAGATTAAGAGTAAGATGGTTCTAACTTGCTCTCCTGCCATTTTATTGATTATATAGGATTAAACATTTATGGTGAGAAAGGCTCAGATTGGCTGTGAATGTGTCAGGTGTATGTAATCTGGGGGTCATGGTTTTTGTTCCTGTTGTATACATGTTGAACATTGACTGCGTCCTTGAAATTACTCAACATGTAAAACATTAAAAACATAGGTGCCCACTGGATATTTGATATTAAAATGTTACTGTCAAATACTTTTAGGAACGAGAATGGTATTGTGGTTTGCTTAATGTTTTAAGGGCCCTTATGTTTTAAAGCATTCATCTCCGTTGGAGGTTACATCTTCCCAAATGGGGCAAATATTGGTCCTGAGGGGGTTAAAAAAAAAATTTGCTCTTTTTATGTATAAAGCACAGATATACATAAAGTACGTAAACAGTTACATAGTGTATCTGTGGTATTAAAATTTTATGGGTGGGGGAAAATGTATTAAGAGTCCTTAAGGAGGGAAGTTATAATGAAAAAAGTTGAGAAAAAATGCTTTAGAGATACATTTTGAAATATTTACTGATAAATGGTGTAATTTCTGAGATTTACGTGAAAATAATCCAATCTGGGGCAGAGGAGATAACAATGTACGTGAAACAGAATTAGCCATGAGTTGATAGTTGTTTAAGCTGGGTAACAGAGACTTAAGAATTCTTTAATCGTTCTCTTTAATTTTATGTTTGAAACTTTCTATAATACATTTATAAAGTTAGGATTATTTTTCTTTACTATATCAATACTATATATTGAAGCACTTCCTCTTGATTACTCAGTAACCTAGGTTACTTTTTTTCATTGCTTTTTTTCAAAGGGGGAAGGGGAAGGAGAGAGAGAAACATCGATGTGAGAGAGACAACATGGATTGGTTGCCGCCCGCATGTGCCCGGACCAGGGCTGGGAGAATCTTCAACCCAGGTACATGCCCTTGACTGGGAATTGAACCTGGAACCCTTAGGTCCGCGGGCCAATGCTCTAACCACTGAGCCAAACCAGCCAGGGCAACAATGTCTTAAAATTTAAATTTGTTTAGTCAATTCATTGATTAGAGTTTTTGTCTTTTTCACTACATTCATCACTAAAAGGTTTAAATTTTTTTATGCCATTATTTCCTTTAAAAGAGACAGAATTTTGTTTTGTTTTTTAAAACAAGTTTTCATCCTACATGAAAAGAAAATTATTAAAATACTACTTTTTAAAAATTGATTTAATTTTTTAAATCTTTGTAAGTTTCATGTAATTTTTGATTTGCACATAAGGTGTATAAATAAGGTTTATATTTCAATGCCAGTACTATTTCATATATTTTATTTTGGAAGGCCTAATCTTCTCTTTTGTAAAATGACTGGCTCCAAGGAGCCATTCTCATCTTAATAACATAAACTCAGTTAGACGTGTGGGCAGTCTTAGGTTCAATGGAAGATAACAAAACAGAAAATAAAAAAGCAGAAGTCAAAATATTCTAGAGATACACAAGTTAAAAACTACTTGGGAAGCCCAGCTGGGCATGGCTCAGTGGTTGAGCATCGACCTAGGATCCAGGAGATCATGGTTCGATTCCCAGTCAGGGCACATGCCTGGATTGTGGGCTCAATCCCTGGTCAGGGTCGTGCAGGAGGCGNAAAATACCAAAGGTCCAGTTTCCATCTTCTTGATGGGCTCTAAATGCAGTTAAAAGGTAAATACTTCATGAAATCAAAAAGACACATAAATCATTTGTCATTTCTCTTTTCCTTCTTCCCAGAAAAAGAATTCTTTTTATCAAGAAGCATATAATTAACACCCTGGCCAGTGTGGCTCAGTTGGTTGGGTGTCGTCTCATGCACCAAAAGGTTGCCAGTTTGGTTCCCAGTAAGGGTACATGCTCAGGCTATGGGCTTGATCCCCGGTAGGGGGGCATGCAGGAGGAAGCAGATCAATGTTTTGCTCTCACATTGATGTTTCTCTCTCTCTCCCTCCCCCTCTCCCCTCCTCTCTCTGAAATCAATAAAGATATATTAAGAAAACAGAAACAAAAATCTATTTGGGATAATTTTTTATTACCAGTTTAAAAATTGTCAGCTTTATGAATTACTTGCAGCCAATCTTTTAAAATCCTAGATAATTTGTTTCTCCCTGCCTAGTACTTCAGAATCACTATCTCTTTCCAGCTAGCGCATAATTATAAATATAGGTTAAAAATTAACTTGTTAAAATAAAATTGAGAAAATAGATTCTTCAAAAAAATAAATATATTGAAAACTCACAATTTATGGATCACATGCTGATTTTCTATACCATTATTTTACTCACATGAAAAGTAGAGAGTTGGATGCTGATAACGAAGTAATTGCGTTTTTATGTGAAATCTAGACTCTTAGACTTCTGCTGTAACTGCTTCAGTCTGTTTATACATTAACTTCAGGAAATCTCTTGAGATTTCAAATAGACCTTTTTAATCGGTCAAAATAAAAGGTTGCTTATGAAATCATTTCTGCTAACTTTCTAACATCTTTTGAGATTGCTATGTGAAGTTAATGTGTTTTTCTTGAAGGGAAGTGAAGATACATTTCATTGATTCTCTTAGGATATTTAATTTACTAATTAATTACTCAGTATCAGGTTGGCATAACCAGATCGGTAAAGGAATTTAATAGAGAAAATGTTGCCTACAAATTGAAACTAGTTTGTAGTAGTTTTATTTCTATCTCCATTTAAAAATATATATTGAATAGAAAAATTTATGATTCTGATCATTTCCCCCCTCCATTGTCCTTTAAACTTCGGTATTCACCCTGTGAATTGTAATTTAATGATTGGATTAAATTTATTTGCTTAAAATTATAAGTCATGTTAAATTCAAGAGAGATGGTGGCTTATTTTGAATCTTTTGTAGTGATAACTGAAAATCTATAACACTTTAAATTGCAAAGGGAGGGAGCACTTAAACCTTTATAACTGAAAGATTAAGTAGACACCACTATATCCATCTGATCATGATTAGCATTACTAACAGATAATCTGACCTTATGTGCCTGCTGGGGTGATGTAGCATGAAGCACTCCATCTCACCTATAATGTATTCTTGCCAAAAAGCACTGCTCTAATCTAATCAAGATTTAACTCAAGTTTTCAGGAATTGTAGGGCATAGAGGAATAAGTGAAACTACACCATGAGGAACTTACCACACAGACCTTAGATTGTACAGCATTTTACAAGACAGTGTCAGAGGGAAAAAGAGGAGACAAAAATGCTGCTGCTGCTGCTGCTGCTGATGACTACGGTGACTACAATGATGACAGCAAGTGGGGAGGATTTTCCTAAATCAGGAGACAAATGCATTATGGAATTTTGGTGGGATCCTGGTTCAAAATAAAATTAACTATTTAGAAGACATTTGCGGGACAGTTTGGAAAATCTGAATATGAATTGGGTAGGAAATGATACAGGGAATTATTGATTTTGTTAGGTGTGGTAATAGTGTGGTTATGTACAAGAATGTTCATAATTTTAGGAGATTAAGGATAGTGTCTTGGTGTCTTCAAATTTCTTTCAAATGGTTCAGCATAAAATATAGGTGTAGGGTAAAACAAATATGGTAAAATGTTAACAGTGGTTGATAGTATATGAATGATCATGTTATCTGTATAAGAAATTTTTTTCTGTAGGTTCATAATAAAAAAGGTAGGGCAGGATTTTATATTCTACTGGGAGGGGAAAAACTAATCTACAAGTGTCTTTTGCCCAGGATATAAAAAAAATACCCATTTCTTGTGAAAGATCCGACTAGTCAAAGTGTAATGTGTTGTTACAGATTTGCCCTCCTGGTCAAAGGAGAATCCATTGTAGAGCTGATTTCACATGCAAATTTAAATAAAACTGACCAAATTTACTATAAGTCTTTTACAGTGGAGGCAATTTGTGTTGTTAAAAACAAACAAACAAACAAAAACAACTAATGAAACTAGTATGTGATTATAGTAATAATTGAATTAAAAGGCTATTTTAAAATTATGGCTTTCTTGAATCCCAAAGGTTTGTTACAGAGACTCCCCGCCCCCCCCCCAAAAAAAAGCTTTGTTACAAATAGTATGAATTTTAACTTGACGTTTCATTAAACTCTTCTTGTTTTTCAATGAGTTTAGAGCCAGAGAACAAAACAAAGTACAGTTCTTGCCCCGGTAATTGACCTAAAGCGAGGTGGCTCTTCAGACGATCGGCAGATTGTGGACACCCCGCCTCATGTAGCAGCTGGCCTAAAGGTAAGCCCCACCTCTGACCTTGACAGGCTTTTCTGCTGTCTGTATGTCTGATTTTATGCATATGCCACTCTGAACACAGTCTACTCGGTAGACCTTTGCAGTCTAGTCAGTGTCATTTTCAACATAATTTTTACTTCTGTTTTATCAAGTTTAAAACATTTAGCTACTTAAAATAAAATAGTTCATTATAGAAAAATTAGAAATCAGAGGTATGCAAAAAAAAATAAATGACTTCAATTCTTTCCAGAAGTTAAAAACTATATTTTGGAATATCTTCCCATTCTATGCTTCTTCTGCCTACTGTTCTCTAACTTGCTTATCTCACTTAATATATTATGACTGTCAAAAAGTATAGGACTATATGCTCATACAGGTTTCACTGTATTCCCTTGTGTGGAATACAGTGTAGTGTAGTTTAATTAATTTTCTTTTTCTTTTTTAAAAAATATTTTTATTGATTTCAGAGAGAGGAAGGGAGAGGGGAAGAGAGAGAGAGAGAGAAACATCAATGATGAGAGAGTCATTGATTGACTGCTTCCTGCACGCACCCCGCTTTGGATCGAGCCTGCAACCGGGCATGTGCCCTAACCCGGAATGGAACTGCTATCTCCTGGATCCTAGGTCAATGCTCAATCGCTGAGCCATGCTGGCCAGGCTAGTTAATTTTCCTCAATGCTAGATATATAGTCCCCTCCCCCCAGTTTTTGCTATCATAAAGAGTATTAGTGTTCATTGTTTTGTTGTGGATCAAAATAAAGAAAAGGGTTAAAAATAAAGACAATTCTACCATCCTACCCTTTATTATCCCAGCGATCTTGCATAAGCTTAAAAACTTAGAACCAGACATGGACAGCTGTAGAAATGCGTTAGTGAGGATGAGAAAGATCTGGAAAAGGATAATTCCAAATCACAGTTAAAACTATATAAAATGAGGGGCAAATGAATTAAACATAAACTATAGTTAAAATTACACCCACTCTTTAGGTATACATTTATTCTGTAGATGGCATGCAAATAACACAACTGTGGTAGGTTAAACACCATACATACAAGTTGCTTGATGAGAAATGGCCCAAAGCTTAATGGTAGAATATGCTATTATTGCTGTTTCTTAGCAAGGTACTCTTCTTTTCTCCACTCCCCCCCGCCCCCAACTATTAGAAAGGGCCAGTCAAGCTGAGACACAGCTCCAGCTGCATGCCCCCTTCCTTCCTTTTTTTTTTTTGTCAATTGTCCCCTGAGGATATTTTTCCCCTTTGCTTTTCAGAGAGAGTAGAAGGGAGGGGAGAGAGAGAAACATCAATGTGGGAGAGACACATCGACTGGTTACCCTGACTGGAGGGTGGGGAGCGAACCCCCAATGGAAATACATGCCCTTGACCCAGAATTGAACCTGTGACCCTTAGGTGCACAGGCCGACACTAACCACTGAGCAGCACTGACCAAGGCAACCTCCTCCCTTCTTTATTAGTTTCTCATCACAGTTTTTTTTTTGTGTGTGTGTTTTTTTAAAAAATATATCTATTGATTTCAGAGAGAGGAAGAGAGAGGAGAGGAGAGAGAGAGAAACATCAGTGATGAGAGAGTCGTCATAGATCAGCTGCCTCCTGCACACCCCTGACCGGGGACTAAGCCCACAACCCGGGCATGTACCCTGACCAGGAATCGAATCGCAGTCTCCTGGATCCTAGGTAGAGATACTCAGCAGCTGAGCCACGCCTAGCCGGGCTCATCCTCACAGTTTTGACTGCTCTGGTTTGGAATTCACTTGCTCCCCCACCTTGCTTTTATTCTCAGGTGGGAAACAACTGAAGCTCTTGGTAGGATTTCTTGGCTGGAAGAACTGGTACTACTGCAGGCTAATAGTCTGTGTAGAGGGAGAGGCACCCCACAGTGGAGGTGTTTTGTGGGGGATTCTTAGTCATTTAACATTTTTCCCCACAAACTCACCACCTAAGGTTTTCTCCCTACATCTACTCAAAAGCTGGTTCATAATCTTCTGTTATTGTGTATTGATTCTAGAACCTATAATATTGTTCCCCATCCCCACCCCCCAAGTTTAGTCAATAAGTATTTTTTTCTTGTTATGTAGGTTTCATAATCAGCTTTTTTTTTTTTAGTTTTTTTTTTAAATTTATTGATTGATTTTGGGGGGAGGTAGAAACATCGATGTTGTTCCACTTATTTATTCATTCACTGGTTGATTTTTGTATGTGCCCTAACTGGGGACTGAACCTGCAACCTTGGTATATCGGGACAATGCTCTAACCAACTGAGCTACCTGGCCAGGGCTCATAATCAATTTTTAATTGTAAAGTATTCCCATCAGGTGAATGTATTGTAATTTATACAAGTGCTTCCTAACTGTAGAACCATCTAGACCTGCTTTTATGTTGTCATCATAAATAACACTGTAGTGCACATCTCCATAGAGAGTGCTCTATGCATGTAAAATTATTTTCTTAGGATAGATTTCCTGAGGTGGCATTAAGAGATCATTTTCATTGCCAATTTGTTTTAGTGCTGACTTGTTTTCAGCAGAGTATTTCAGCATAAAGCATCACCTACATTATGAGAGTATTTTAGTTTAACCCACCCTCCCCAACATTGGGGAATTAGCATTTTAATTTTTTAAAAATCAACAAACTTCTTTATTCTCTATAGCATTTAGAGAAGGATGGCTCATTGTTAAACCTCACAGGGTTTATACAGTAAAAGTTGTTTGATTTCAAATTTTGAAATGACAGTTTCATATTTACAGTTTGTTCTCTCAGAAACTTTTTGATAATAGTATTTCATAAATTGAGTGGCTGATTATTAGTTTCTCTCCTGTCTTAATAATAACTGAAAGGAAATCTTGTTCATGTGCCTTTGCCTTTTAAAAATGTCTTTTATATGAATACAAATTTATTAACTACCTTATGGGGACCCTATGTTTAATAGATTTGTGTAAATTTTCCAGTGGTAGGGCCTTGGAGGTAATTACAGTTATTTTTCTAACTTCTTTTATTCATTGAATTATACTGTTCCTGATTTTTAGTTATAAGGAAATGATGAAGTGTTTGTTTTACAATGCAGAATGTCAAACAGAGTGGTGTAATGTTTTAAAATGTCAAACTGAACAGGAATTGTTGGTTTAAATTCATTGATAGTGAATATAAGCCCTTCTGGTCATACCAGTTTTGTGTTCAAAACAATACACATTTTGCAACCTTCCTGCCTTTGATAGTATCGTGCAGTGTGCCTCCTGAAAGAAATCAGAGTGGGCACTCAAGAGTACTAGTCTTAAGCTGTGCTTGTTTAAGATGTCGGTGGAGACCAGTTAAAGCCTCTTATTTTTACAGATAATAAGGAAGAGTTATTCTAAGAAATCATGGAGGAAAGAAAGTATGGAGGTTTAGGAACTTAGACCGTGCGTTAGATCGGGGCTTCCCAGAACCATGTAGAGATCAAGACCACCAAATTAGGGTAAAGCCCCATTTCTCATCATGTATCTTCTAGTTGGCTGTACTCTGTCTGCTTTTTGTCTTTCTGATTTCTTTGTTAAAACTAGATCTTTTCTTTCAAAGAGTACGCCCCAGTTTCTAAATGTTTAGAAGAGAAAGGCAAAACGTTAATCATCTGAACCTGATCTTAGTGGACCTTAAAATAATTAATGACGATGTGAAGGGAATTACGTTCACCTGTGCCAGACTCAGCACATGAACTGCAGCCTACCTGGGACAGAGTGTATTCCAGAGCATTTCAAAAAGCCCAAGAGACCCTGGTTTGTGTGGTTCAGTGGTTAGAGCATTGGCTCGTGCACCAAAGGGTCTCGGGTTTGATCCCCAGTCAAGAGCATGTACCTGGGCTGCAAGTTCAGTCGAGGTGTGTGGGGGTGGCAACCAATCAATGTCTCTCTCTCTCATCGATGTTTCTCTCCTTCTCTCTCCCCACTCCCCCCTCCCTCCCTTCCACTCTCTCTAAAAATCAATGGAAAAAATATCTTCAGGTGAGGACTAAAAATAAAAAGCCTAAGAGGATGCCTTTTGCTTTTTTAAGTCTTGAATCATGTTTCTCCATGTAATCAAAATTCAAAGTTATTCTGTTAGTGACCATAAGAATGATTGTGTTATTTGTGGGTGGTTTGGTTTATATAAAAACAGAAGTATTTGTTTACTATATAAATAAATTTATTGCTTAAAAGTTTCAGTGGTGGCAGTTTGTTTAATAATTTCAGGAAAATGCCATAGGGTATTTATGGAATTAATACTGAACTAAATGCTTTGTCATGACTTTGCTACTATCTGGTGAGGTGTGTGGCTATGTGAAGCCACTAAACACCCTTAGGCATTTGTTCCCTCATCTATAAAACAAAGGAGGCAGGTAGATGGTCATCAAGTGTGCTTACAACCCTTATATTCTTTTACCTGAATTCTATAAATAAAATTTTAAGATATGAGGATGATACCTTGGCATTTTTATCTTCCTCAGGATCCTGTACCCAGTGGATTTTCTGCAGGAGAAGTTTTGATCCCCTTAGCTGATGAATATGATCCTATGTTTCCTAATGATTATGAGAAAGTAGTGAAGCGCCAAAGAGAAGAACGACAGAGACAGCGGGAGCTGGAAAGACAAAAAGAAATAGAAGAGAGAGAAAAGTAAGGCTTTGTTTGGATTCGGGGATATTTTATGTTTGAAATATTTATTAGAATGTTAATGAATGAACTTCAATGCTGTCGTAAGGCTAAAGTTAGTTTTCATGGTTGATCTGAGCAATCATCAGAAGGAATCAAATTGTTTTTAAAAATTTGTAGTTGTTACATCCCAGCATTAAAACACACACACTCTAGCCTGCCCGTCATGGCTCAGCGGTTGAGCATTGACCTGGGATCCAGGAGATCGAGGTTTGATTCCCGGTCAGGGCAAATGCCCGGGTTGTAGGCTTGATCCCAGTACAGAGCGTGCGGGAGGTAGCCGATCAATGACTCATCATTGATATTTCTATCTCTCTCCCTTCCTCTCTCTGAAATCAATAAAGATATATTTATTTAAAAAACAAAAAACCCCCACACACTCTAGAGCAAATTTCATGTATAGATGCAGAAAACTTAAGAGTATTTATTTTGGGTGAGTTGTTAGAAAAGTACCTTAAAATCCTGTTATTAAACCATAGCTTCTTTTCCTTTGCTATGGCTCTTCTTTTTTTTTTTACTATATCTTTATTGATTTCACAGAGAGGAAAGGAGAGGGAGAGAGAGAAAGAGAGAGAGAGAGAGAAACATTAATGATGAGAGAGTCATTGATCGGCTGCAGCCCGCAACCTGGGCATGTGCCCTGACCGGAAATCGAACCCTGATCACATGGATCCTAGGTCAGTGCTTAACCACTGAGCCACACCCGGCCGGGCATGCTATGGCTCTTCTATAATCATAACTATTTGGAATACTTAAATTGGCCCTGGCTGGTGTGGCTCAGTTTGCTGAGTGTCCTCCCATGTACTGAAAGGTCACTGGTTCAGTTCCCGGTCAGGGCACATGCCCCTGTTTGGGGTTCGGTCCCTGGTCGAGGTATGTACAGGAGGCAGCGGGTTGATATTTCTCTCTCACATTGATGTTTCTCTCTCTCCCTCTCTCTCTTCCTCTCTCTCTCAAAAAAAAAAAAATAAATAACTGTACAACTGGGAGCCAGACTAAATAGTAATCTTCTACGAAGTTTAAAGCATTACAACTTGGTTTGAGATTCGAGGACAGGTTGTTAAAAATTTGTATGTTGAAATCTAAGATTAGTTCACCTGATGTTCACGGTGGACAGAGCCTTAATCCGAGATGGACATACTGGAAGCTTCTCTTGTGGCTCAGTCATGACCTGTGGGACTTGCTGAGCTTCTATGTGGTTTAGGTGACCTCTTTCTTAGGTCCCTTCCCACTGGAAAGCTGTGTAATTTTTTCTGTAATTGACTTGTGCAGAGGTCTTAAATCTCAGNGGCTCAGTCATGACCTGTGGGACTTGCTGAGCTTCTATGTGGTTTAGGTGACCTCTTTCTTAGGTCCCTTCCCACTGGAAAACTGTGTAATTTTTTCTGTAATTGACTTGTGCAGAGGTCTTAAATGCCCATTCCTAAGTTCTCTGGCAGATGTTTCCCATTTAAATGTTTCTCTATTAAAACTGCTAGATAAAATGCAGGGTAAAACCCAATTAAAACTCAGATAAATTTTTTTTGAAGTATAATTATATCCCAAATATCGCATGGGAAATATTTATATAAAAAAATTACTTGTTTGCTCGCTTTGGCAGCAGACGTACTTTAAAAAATTACTTGTTTATCTGAAATTCAGATAAAATTGGGCATCCTATGTTTTTATTTGCTAAATCTGGCAACCCTGCCCTCTATACCACTCTTCAATGTAGCTAATAAAATGTATAGCATTCCTGGCAAAAAAAAAAAATTTAATAAAAATAATTTAAAAAATAAACTGACACATCAATATGAAAAAAATTTGCAAACTAAAATAAAAACCCAAAACTTAAATTGTTATATTTTTAACTATTTTTTGAGCCAGATGAAAATTTTAAAAACATGCATCTTTTATTTATCATTTTTAAAAGTATGGGCAACAAGGATTTGTTTGTATTTTTTCTTTTCAAAATATTGAATATTAATTGTTAAATGGTTTGGAGCATTATCCTGTACACTGAAAGGTGTGGGTTCAATTCCTGGTCAGGACACATACAGGAAGCAACTGATTGATGTTTCTCTTTCTTTCCCTTTTTCTTTCTCCCTCCCTCCTCCCCTCCCTCCCCTTCGCTCTAAAAATCAATGAACATGTCTTCGGGTGAGGATAAAAAAAAGTTTATAAAACATTAATATAGTATTTCTTATTTCATGTAGTGAAGGCATGTTCTAGAGCAGCAATTTTCAACCCTTTTTATCTCATGACACACAAACAAATTACTCAAGTTCGGTGGCACACCAAAAAAATATATTTTTTGCCGATCTGACCAAAAACAATAAGGTATAATTTTTATGTTGGCTGTTGTCATTTTTTTATTTGACAGTCTAAGGGAAAAGAGGTCAGTGCCCCAGACTAAATAATCAGGTATTGCATACCTCCTCAGCACACCAGTTTGAAAATTGCTATTCTAGAGAATCAGAATTGTTCACCTATTACCTATGTTGATATGCTTTAAAATGGGAAGAGGTAAATACCAAGTAAACTTTTTTCTTGCTACTTATACTCATATACTTATTAAATGTGTTCAGTTTATCTTCTGGTTTTTCTCACTTCTTATACTTGAGCTCCTTTAGTCTTCAATCAGTTGTTTTCTCACACACCCCTGCTCCCATTAATAGGTTAGTGTGAAAGGGAGGATTTGGGTATTTTCTAGCCAAGAGAAAGTCAAGGTTATGTCCTTGAGTTCACATCTCTAAATTGGCTCGTCTGTGATGAACATGGGCTCTTTTATTATCACAGGAGGCGTAAAGACAGACACGAAGCCAGTGGGTTTTCAAGGCGACCAGATCCAGATTCTGATGAAGATGAAGATTATGAGCGAGAGAGGAGAAAAAGAAGTAAGGCATGGACCTAAATGTTATGTTTCCAACATGGTGCAATTCCACTATTTGCTTTTCATATTCAATTTGATAAATAGTTCAGTTGACATTGATTAAGGTAATTTTCTCTCTGGAATCTCAGCAATCCACATTTGCATATAGCCCTAATTTATATTGCATTTTTACTTATATTCTCCTTTAAGCTTTCCACCCATTTTTTATTATTTATTAAGTGGATACTTTGAGCATACCTTAAAATATATACACACTTCTTTACTTGTAGCATAGTCACACTTACCTATTCTCTGTGTTCAGCTTCATTTCTGTGAAGCACTGAATGGAGGAGAGTCAAGGCAGTTATTTCTAGAACATTTGCCACTAACATGCATAAATTTGAGGATATCACTTAGCTTCCCTGGACGTTGGTTTCTTTCAGCGTTATCTGGAGAGCAGGAAGACAAGAATTTGAACTAGTTTACATAGCCCTTTGTAGCTCTAAAATTTTATAAGCAGAATTGTACTTGTGTTAAGAGCTAAATCCTTAGTGATCACTGGACAGTTAAGCAGTACTTGTTCTTGAGAGAATGGAATGCTTCTTATTTTAGCTTTGTCATGTTTTGATTGCTGGGATTTCCTTGATTTAATTGACCAATTTGGTTGCTAGATTGAGATTTAAGTGAGAAATTTAAATCTACTTGTCTACTAGATCCCAGGCTCTGTTCTAAGCACTTCCATAGATTATCTCCTTTATGCCACGTGACAACTCAGAGTGGGCTCTGTGTTTATCCCCATTTAAAAATATATATATTTTTATTGATTTCAGTAGAGGAAGGGAGGAGAGATAAAAACATCAATGATGAGAATCATTGATTGGCTGCCTCTTGCACGCCCCCTACTGGGGATCGAGCCTACAACCTGGCCATGTTCCATGACGGTGACCTCCTGGTTCATGGGTCTATACTCAACCACTGAGCCCACCAGCCGGGCTGATTATCTTCATTTTAAGGGTGGGAAATCTGAGGTACAGAGGGAAGAAGCACTTTATATGATATAGGTCCACTGTTCATCTTATCCAAGATCTTCATCTACCGGAAAAACTCATTATAATGTAGTCATCTTTAACATAAGACCTAAGAATTCTGTTACGAAACCGGAGTATAATCTTTCAATGCAGATATGAATTAAATGTGTTTATAGAATTCTTAATACATAACACAAGAGAAAACCAAGCTCATGGATACAGAGAATAGATTGGTGGTTGCCAGGGGTGGAAAGTAGGAGAAATGGGTGCAGGGGGTCAAAAGGTACAAGCTTCCAGTTATAAAATAAATAAGCCATGGGGGTTGTAATGGATAGCATGGTGACTATAGTTAACAATATTGCATTGTATATTTCAAAGTTTTAAGGGAGTAGACCTTAAAAGTCCTCATTGCAAGAAAAAAATTTGCAACTGTATGGTGAGAGATATTAACTAGACTTATTTTGGTAATGATTCTGCAACATACAAATACTGAATCATTATCTTATGCACCTGAAACTATTATTATTTATCAATTATACCTCAACAACAAAAAAAGAATAGTACATGTTGAATATTGTCAGGCACTACATTGTTTTTCTAATGGGAGTAAAGTTAACATTTAAGTATGCTCTGTGTGTCAGGTATTATGTTAAAACATTTCATATCTGTTATTAATCAAGAAATGTTTGGTTTTTATTAACTTTTTTAGAATCCAGTATATCGGTTGAATCATTTGTTGGTCTCATCTTTTCAGCTTACAGATCTGCTGCCCTTTTTTTAAGGAGGTATGCCTTCTCTGTGAAGGCCATTTATTTTCTTAAACATTAGCAGAAGCTATACATTGAATAGTAGGAAAGTAATGGCATTATGTCCATTATGTATACTGCTGTTAACAGATGATGTTTATATTTTAACCTAATGATTAGTAGATAATTTTTAGTAATCACCCTGAATTTTTTATACTGAACTTATTAGAGCTAATCTCAGAATCAGTCAATAATCACTTAGGTCTTAGTGACAAGATTGAAAAATGGTAATAAGAAGTATTTAAAAATAAATATAAGAAAGTTTTATTTGTATTTCTCCTTAAGTATTTTGTCTAGTCCAGGCCTGTTAATCATGGTTTGTGTGTGCTGGCTTTGGAGGAATTTCTTTTGTGAAACATTTCACGCTGGTACAGCACTGGTTTTGTAATCAGTTTTTTTGTTTGTTTACATCTTATTTTTTGGGCTGTTGTTGGTGATTAAATTATATTAAATATGTTAGGGCTTACACCTAATGAAAAATTCCTTATATTCTCCTTTCATGTCAGATAGCAAATGGAGTTATTTTGGTTTGTTTGTGTCCACCATTCTCTGCCCTGGAAACATGAGCAGGAATGGTGACAACACAAAACAGATTCTACAGAAAGCAGAAATACCCATATTTCCAAATAGGTGTTAGTTCCAGGGGTTTGCACCCAGAAAGGAATGTGCTATATTGTGGGGGAAAGCTTGGAATCACTAGGAGCTGTGTTTTATTCTATCTCTGCCCACTAATTCTCCTCTGATCATTTTCTCCTCTGAAAGGAAAATGGACACAGCAATATTTACTTCAAAGGTTTATTAAGTCTAAATGAGATAATGTACATGAAAGAAACTGGTGACTAACATGCTGTCAGTTATGTTACTGTTTTTTGAGTCACTGCTAATTCTCTGGGTTATGTTCTTTTGTCTTAAAATTCATTTATTAACTATATTCTGGGCTCTTGAATAGCTGCTATGAAAAACAAATCGTGTTTGTCTGGCTTTTCCCAGTTTTCTAGATTTTTAATTCTAGATTCAGATATTGAATTCTTTAGTTGTTAGCTGGAGGGATGAAGTAGCAGGTCTCCCTCCCTCCCTTTCTCCTTCCTTCCCTCCTTCCCCCCTTCCTTCCTTCCTTCATTTTGTGTGATATCACATATGTGGCATATATCACAGTCCTTGAGAGTCTGGCATCTGAAATGTTCCTTTAATCAGTGGAATTTGTTTTTGCAGGTATGGGCGGAGCTGCCATCGCACCACCTACTTCTCTTGTAGAAAAAGACAAAGAGTGTATGTATCTGTTTCTACCCCTCTTTTATTTTGATATAAATCTTTAACCCAGCCATGGGTAGTCTTAACTTCTATCAGCCAGGTTTCCTGAGGGTAAAGGGAAATTGTCCAAAAGCCTGTCCTTTGACCTGAACCCAGAGTGGGACCTTGAGGCTGCTGCTCCTTTCCATCCCTTATACTTTTGAAGTTTTAATGCCAGGCTCTGAGACTTGGATTTTTTATACAGTGAGACTCTTTTTTGTTCTTGTTTTTTTAATTCATTTTGTCTTCTCCAACATTTCATATTTAGAGTTAGGTTAAAACAAATAATAGCTTCTCAGTTTACTTTGTGTACTCAGTGGTTTAGAGGCCATTAAATTCATAACCTTCCACAAGGTGGCAGTGCCTTCTGATTAGATTTTTCTGCCATTAGTTTTGATTTCACTTCACAGGTTGTATGCCTTCACTTACATTGCCAGAGCACACCCACCCTCTGTTTCTCCTCCCAGTGATCTGTTCTAGAATTTGGAGGCTGGCATTGAACTTTGATAGATGATTCTAGGTCATTTTCCTATCCTCTGTGTTGGACCATTCCTAAACTATCCCAAGAAAATATAATCATCCCTAATGCTTTGTAATACCTGTTGCACTATTTATGTTATCTTTTTAAAGACGAAATTTAAAAAGTATTGTTAAATACCTTTTGTGTGAAAACACCTGGCAAACAATAAACCCAGTTGAAACCAGTCTGGGTTTTTTTTAAGCTTCCTTGTTGAAAATCACTGCTGCAGCTAGGTTTGAAAATCACTGCTCTGGTATATGGTCCATAACCTGAAAGACCTTTATTCTGTGCTAGGCTAATGAAGTAGTAAGAATTCAAAGATAGGTATACAAGATGCTATGGGAATCAAGAGAGAGTTCTATTAGATCTATCTGGAACATAAAATTGACATTTAGAGCACTTTTAAAGGATAACATTTCAGTAGTATATAAAAAGGACATTTGAGATAATCAACAGCTGGAACAAAGCTAGAATCAGTAAAATAGTGCTGTACCTTTATGATTTTAAAAAGTAATGTAGAGCCTGTAAAATGGATTTTGTTTTTTTCTCTCCTTAAAGTAAACTAAAAATGTTCGTTAAATTAGTTCAAGATAACTGATTTATACAAGTGCAGTTCGAAAATTTTTTGTAGCATTTTGGTAAACTTACTTATTTTTGTCCAACAGTACCCCGAGAATTTCCTTATGAAGAGGATTCAAGACCTCGCTCACAGTCCTCTAAAGCTGCCATTCCTCCCCCTGTGTATGAGGAACAAGACAGACCTAGATCTCCAACGGGCCCTGGCAACTCCTTCCTCGCCAACATGGGGTAATGATTCCAAGTGCTGTCATGTGGGCAGGTGTAAGAAGGACAAGACTCAGCTGAGACTCAGTGTAAAACGTTGGCAGCCCTTTCACTAGATGCAGCTTGTTTGAAATTGAGGGCATTCTCTGGTTGTAGGGAGATGCTTGATGTGTTTCGTCACACAATGTCATTCTTGAGAATCTGCTTGAGTCACATGGAGGGAATTGCAGCACAATGCTGGTATATTTTGTATAAAACAAAGCCTTCTAATGTAAGTTTGGGATGATTTCATTGCTGAACATTATATTCTCTAGGTAGTAACAGTTTCTGGTTATTATTTACATTTATTTTCATAACACTTGCAAGTAAAATAGGTCATTTGAATTACAGCTGACTTATACTATGTCCAAAAGGGTGAATGACGTCATTATTTTTTTATAAAATGAGCCATTTGCTTTAAAGTCATGGTTCTATACCTTTGTTCTAAAAACTTAGTCACTCAAACTATAATTAGGATGTTTGCCTGCGGGTAAAAATCAGTTTTAAGGTTGACTTTCAGGTGTGGCTTGTGGAATTTTTTTTAAAATCCCCATTGGATTTGTCATGCATTTTGATTAAAAGAGTGTTTTATGTTGTTTACTTTAAAGTTTCTTTCATGCAGTGAGGGGCTATCAAATGAAGCAGCATTACACTAAGGCTTTTGTTCTATGTCCTTTAGGAGGACACTACCTATGATAGAAATGCTGTGACCATAGTAATCACACCAACCTGCCCTCACCTATGTGCATATGCTTTGATTCTTGGAGCCCTCTAGAGGTCACTAGTCAAGAGTTGGAGTAGATGGCTGGGGTTCCCGAACTGTGAGAGGATTTTGAGTTTCTGAGCTTGGTATACTCCTACACCTGTTTTGTTCTCTATGGTAGCTACTAGCCACAGGTGGCTATTAATTTAAAATGAATACAACTTAAAATGTAGTTCCTCAATCATACTAGTCTTGTCTCAAGTGCTCAATAACCACGTAGCTTAATAGGTACCCTATTGGGCAGCGTGGAGAGAGAACATCCCCATCATTGCAAAAAGTGTATTGGGCTACCCTAGAGTGTATGCTGGAGGGTGGACAGACATGAAACTGTTGTTTTCTTTTTTCTCCTAATGATAAAAATGGACTTCTTGCTGAATCCCCTTTTAAACAGGAATTCAGTTTTTAACGTACACCTAAGAAAAATGCGGTGTGGTGCAGTTTAGCAGTTTTCAGTCTTTTTAGCCCTAGGACAGATTCAAATGAAATTTTTAAGGAAATCACATCAACATGAAGTAATATAGGTACAATTCTAGTTGAAACAGGGTTTTGTGATTCAAGCCTTAAGTAGCAGTGGCCACTGGGGGACACCCTTGAGATCCGTGAGGCACCTTCAAGTGCAGTTTGAAAGTTATGGTATTAGAGAAAGAGCAGTGGACCAATTATCAGTTGTGGGTTCCAATTCGATCATTAACACCTATAGAAATAATTTCTGAATATTGTGTCTTGTTTTTGTTTCTAATCAGCTTTAAGGTAGTCAGCTAATCTGAGCCTCAGTTTCTTTATTTTTCCATCGATTAAATAGATAATACCTAGGAGCTCTTTATAAATTCTGCCATTGGAAACTCTACTGTATTATTTAGAAAAATGCAGTCACTTCCATTATGAAACTTTATACTTTTTTGGACAGGTACCTTTTTCCCTCCCGGCTTTAAAGAATTTTTATTTCTCCATTACAGTTGACATATAATATTATATTAATTTAGGTGTACACCCCAGTGATTAGACATTATATGTTACTAAGTGATAACCCTGATAAATCTAGTACCCGTCTGACACCATACATAGTTATTACAATATTATTGACTGTATTTCTTATGCTGTACTTTACATCCCCATTATTATTCTGTAACTACCAATTTGTACTTCTTAATCCCTTCACCTTTTCACCCGTCCCCCCCCCAAACTTCCTCCCATCTGGCAAAATGTTTTCTATATCTGTGAGTCTGTTCTGCTCGTTTATTTTGTTCTTTAGATTCCACATGTAAGAGAAATCATATGGCATTTGTCTTCCTCTGTCTGACTTATTTTACTCAGTACAATACCCTGTAGGTCCATCCATGTTTTAGATGGCAAGATTTCATCATTTAAGTAATCATTGATAGATATGTATTTATTGCCATTTTATTATTCATATATATATATTTTTTCCCTTCTCCTTCTTAAAGAAGACCCTTTAATATTTCTTGTAATACTGGTTTGGTGATGATGAACTCATTTAGCTTTTCTTGTCCGGGAAGGTCTTTATCTGTCCTTCGATTCTAAGTGATAGCTTTTCTGGGTAGAGTAAATCTTGGTTGTAGATCCTTGCTTTCATCACTTTGAATATTTCTTGCCAATCCCTTCTGACCTGCAAAGTTTGTGTTGAGAAATCAGCTGACAGTCTTATGGGAGCTTCCTTGTAGATAACTTTCTCCTTTTCTCTCGCTGCTTTTAAGATTCTCTCTTTGTCTTTAACCTTTGGCATTTTAAATATGATGTATCTTGGTGCGGACCTCTTTGGGTTCACTTTGTTTGGAATTCTCTCTGTTTTAGTCAATAATATTGTAATAACTATTTGTGGTGCCAGGTGGGTACTGGAAATTTCTGGGGGACCACTTTGTAAAGTTCATGATTGTCTAACCAATGTTCTGTACACCTGAAACTAAAACAAAAGAATATTAATTATAAACAGTAATTAAAAAAAAAAAAAAGATACATAGCAATGCAAATACTAGAACACACAAGAACCCTAATGTTTTCTAACAAGGGGTACTTGGGAAATTTTGTTAGGGAAACTAATATTTCCCTTACCTTAAAGATAATCTCAGGATGTTCAGAGTTTCAGCATTTTTTATATTTCTTTCATCCTGAACATCCCTATAACCTCATCTAAAGGCCCATTGTTAATTATATGTGACCTCATGAAATCCCTTGTAGAATTTCTGTTCTCCTTTTCAGGAGGAGAATGTAATGATACAAAATCCAATTTGTGCTATAGCTGATGACTTCAAGCGTAAAGGACCTTCCTCTTTTCTTCTTCCCAGTGGCACAGTAGCACATAAAATCATGCAGAAGTATGGCTTTCGGGAAGGCCAGGGCCTTGGGAAGCACGAACAAGGGCTGAGCACAGCGTTGTCAGTGGAGAAGACGAGCAAGCGAGGAGGCAAGATTATTGTGGGTGAAGTCACAGAGAAAGGTGAGTCTTCCCCAGAAGCAGGGGGAAATGCAGCCCAGAGGCAGAGGACTGGCCCTCTTGAATAGAATACGAGAATTCCTGATTGTGATGCATTCCAGTTCTTTGTTATGGTTCATCATCTTTATTTGTTCAGGACAAATGTAGAGATACGAAAGCCCATAGGAGAAAAGACAATGACTTGGGCAGAAAATGAACAGTACTCAAGAAAATAAAATCGTGCCTACTTCTACCGGGCAAAGAATCTTGTTAAATTGATAAAACATAGTTATGTTTTTATAACATGAAAGACAGAGCCATATACCATATATCAGTGATTATATCTGCTATATCCCCATCCTATAAGGGTTCTTCTTGGTAGATGACACCTAGTTGGTGTTTTATTTTTGTTCTCTCAATACACAGCTTTAGTAAGCAGCCAGTCAGCCTAGAGTCACCCTGATTTGTGGGAGTAGCTGCAATGAACTGCTTATATTATATTGGGCTAGTGACCAAGCCAAGACTCTTACCTATAAGGGTTGCTCTGTCAACCCCTTAGGAAGTGAACTAAGTGAAAATTGTAGGTAACCAGGGAAGCTAAAAACTTCCAGAAGTTATGGTAAAAACCTACACCAAAGCAAAGCAAATGCAGATAGGGCTACATTTTTGCTCAGCTGGAGATGCTTAGAGAGGACTCTAGGACACAAGAGGGTTGCTGTTGAAATCAAATTATTCATTATAACCTGGACTCAGTGCTCTAACATGGTCCATCTGATGATTTGTTTTTCTACAGATGCAGCTAAGAAGTCGGATTCAAATCCATTAACTGAAATACTTAAGTGTCCTACTAAAGTGGTCCTACTAAGGGTAAGAAGCAGAAGGAAAAAACCTGTTTGTCCACCTTGATTTATGTCACTCCACCCTAACTTATCCCTGTTCCACATCACTGATACCATAATGGGTAAAGAAAACTGAAAATAATACTTTCGCAAATGATACTTTTGGATAGACTCCACATAAGACTGATAGAATCCTTTTTTACTAATGTTTCTTTGCTAAATATACTATTTAAGACTACAGTGATTACTTTAAAATATTTGAAGTTGTTAGAAGTTTAGCTTAGTTTATGCATTTTCATGCTTGCAAAATTGCTCTTGTAAGTCTATGAAACTTAGTATATATTTTTATTTTGTTTTTTTAAGAAATAACAATTTTGGGGGACTACAGAGATGAAAATTTTCACTGTGTTATTTGGGATAGAGAACATTTGCTATCATAAAGTTATTTATACATCTTATTTATGTATTAATAAATTATACTTGAATTTATTTTATTTTTGTTTACAGAACATGGTTGGTGCAGGAGAGGTAGATGAAGACTTGGAAGTTGAAACCAAGGAAGAGTGTGAAAAATATGGCAAAGTTGGAAAATGTGTGATATTTGAAGTAAGAGGGTTTTCTTTTGATGTTTATACCCTGTTGTGATTGAGAGGTTACAAAACATTATCTACAAATAGACGTGTGCTGTGCTTAAATAACACATTGCCTTACTACAGAAGGTGACAGGTGTTGGTGATGCTTCTCTTACTTAGTTGTAAAAATTTTAAACATAAAGACAAGAAGGACTTCAAATTTTATTTGGAGAAGAAATAAAATTCATTTTATGACTGAGGTTTAGTTTGGTGATTAAAGACTTTGATTATGGTATGCTCAGTGGTTTAGTTACTTGGACATGCCTTTGGTTTCATTCATTTGGCAAGTATATATTTAGTGCTTCTCATATATCCAATACTGTATTGAGAGCATTGAGGATGTTCTGTGCTCTCAGTGATATGTGCAGTTGAAACAACAAAACAAACATATAAAAATAGAGAATATTTTGTTGCTAGATTCAGTAATATTGACTATAAGTACTGGAGCTGGAAAAGGATTAGGTAAAGAAGGCTTTGTGACAATATCAGATTCGAGCTGAGCTTTGAAATGAATGGGTAGGATTTGGATAGGCGGAAAAGGTACTCAGATTAGGGTCACAGCTTCTGGGAGACTGACAAGGCTCCTGTAAACAGGAGACATGTTTACATAGATGGAATGGGGCCATATGCAGGGCGTAGAGGGCATGACAAAGGAATTTAACCTAGTATGAGAGGCAATTAGAATATAAATCTTTTTATCTTAAATTTCTGCTCTTGTTGCCATTTGTTGACCACATAATTATTTGTTTACATGTCAGTTGGCATAGGACCTCCACAAGGTCAGACTGCTCTACTTAGCTATGTATTCCCAGCACTTAACATTGTACCTGTCCTAAACAGGTCTTCAACAAATTTTTGATGACTAATTATGCTTATTTCCTTCGTATTTTACTGCTGGTTCGTATATGATACTAATTGGCATACTTACTCTGGCAGAAATTATTAAAGGAAGAAAACTACATTTAGTGATATCTCAAATGGTAACTTTACCTATTATACTTTTATTTCTTTTCCAGATTCCTGGTGCCCCTGATGATGAAGCAGTACGAATATTTTTAGAATTTGAGAGGGTTGAATCAGCAATTAAAGGTAAGTTATACAACTAAATATAAAGAATAAAAAAGTTGAATTTGTGATCTTGTTATAATTAAAACATGTTCTTGAACTGTCTTATAGGAACCTGTATTAACTGACTTTTTTTGTTTGCCTTTTAGCTGTCGTTGATCTGAATGGGAGGTATTTTGGTGGACGGGTGGTAAAAGCATGTTTCTACAATTTGGATAAATTCAGGGTGTTGGATTTGGCAGAACAAGTTTGATTTTAAGAACTAGAGCATGAGCTGCAAACTGAACAGAAGAAAAAGGCGACAGCCAGCCTGCATGGCTGTTGGATACAGAGACTCTTGGAAGGACTGCTAAGATATATGTTGATTAATCCTTTTTTTATTTTGTGGTTTTTTAATATAGTATAAAAATCCTTTAAAAAAAAATCTGTGTGCCTCTGGTTGTTTCTCTTTCTTATTACCACTTCTGAAGTAATTAACGTTTTTTGCTAGGATTTTATGATAATTCTCAAGTGCTTCAGTGATACAGCATTTCTTGCACTAAAATCTAGAAAGTTTTGGGATATGGGGTTGTATTAAGTTATCCTTTGTGTTTCATTTTTTTTCTCTTTTTGATTCATTTTACTAAAACTTGCAAGTTACTGTAGCTTCATAAGTTCTGTAATAAAGTATCATCTTGGCAGTCTGCCAAAGGTGATAATGTCTGCTTTCTCTAACAGAGAAATTTTTCTTATTGACTCCGGTCATAGAAAAAAGTCTTTAAGGCCTAAACTAAGGTTGAAGAATTGTGAACCTACCATGACCTGTTTGGATGAGTCATTTCAATTAAACTAAGTCAGACTATAGGGTTTGTGATGGATTTAGGGTATAGAAATCATCAACCTAGCATTTGATTTTAGAGATTGAGGCATAGTCTTTAGGGTAGATCAGAAATTACAAATTAATTCAAAACCTCATGGGTACATTGTAAATGTGTACCCATGTTTTGGAAATGGTAGTTCCACGGGGTCGCAATTCTACTGGCAAAATTTGCAGTAGTGTTAGTTCTTATATGTAATTTTAAAATTTATAAAATTCAGCCACATCAGCTACTTAAACTGTACTGCCAATTAATATAATTCCAGAATTATGAAATATTTTCCCATTGAAGTGCAGTGGTATGTGTGGCTTAAAAATTTAACAGGACCGTGAAAAAGAACAAAAATACTCAGTACTGGTGTTCATTGCCAGAGCAGGAAGTGTTTCCAGAACACATTTGTGCCCATGTTCTGGTCCTTGCTTGCCCAAATATTGCTGAAGGACATATACCTATGTTGCCTCTCTAGGTTATTATGACATGAAAGCATGTTGTCACCCTTTGGGGGAAAAAAGCACTTAACACTTCTTTGCATCCATGGACTTGGTTTGAAGACCTAAGGAATATTCTGACCCTTTTTTAAAAAGGATTTTCTCATGTTTTTATTTAACAGAAATAATAACATTTTCCCTTTTGTGGCATTACTTTACTAAATAAAATCTAATTGAAACTTGGTTTTTGTGATAAAAGTGCACATTATAAGTTTGAGTTAAAGATTATAACATAAAATTACATAATTGAATATTTTGTAAGATGTAAGAATCAACAGCAGCCCTGAAACTTGAAAAGATCTACGTATGGACTTAATGAATAGGTCTACCTATGGACTTACTGAATGATGATGCCATGTTTGGCTTACAAGTACCTAAATGTGCTTATGCTGAGTATTTATTACGATAGCTTAGTTTAATTTGTATGAACTCTACTGTTCTTAGAGTATAAGTTCCAAACTGCCTTTGATGTCTCATTATTATTATTATTTGCTGCATAGTAACATCATTGTCCATTTGCATTTAGGTAGCTTTCCCCAACGTTCTCATGATCAACAACCAGAGAAATGCAAGTAACTAATTTTTAGTAGCATGGATACAACTTGGTGAATATCTTACTCCCCAATCTTTAATTATTACTTTTTAATTTATCACTGACTGCATTAATTATTTAGTGCATTATTTGCGGTGAATTTCTGGTATTGCAATAATTTCTAAATCTCCTGCAAAATAGTGCCTGAGAAGTTTTAAATTAATTTTCAATATTAGCTAACTAAAATTCAAATTTAACTTCAATATAAAAATTCTAATACAAATTTTAAAAATTAAAGAAAGGTTCAGTGTAATAGACATTTGTCCCTCTTGTCCCATCTGTGATCTTATGTAAGCCCTTCCTGTGTTTGGGGAGTCTCCTGCATTCTTACCTCCTTAAGGTAGAGACTAGAAACTTGTTTTTCCATCCTGTCTCACAACTAAGGCAGGCACCCTGTCCTAGGCTCTTTATATCTGATGTGCTACCCCAAGGCTTCAGATTGGAGCAGAGTTTATATAGGAGCTATTCTCATACTGACCAGGGTAGGCACAGTGTTTTCTAGTCTTTGGGCAGTGATAGCAGAGGATTTGTTATCCCATAGTGACATGTATTGTGGTAGGACCACTTGTGTGGCAGGGTGGTCTTTGGAGCAGTTCTAGATATGATTTGGGAGTTTTCTTGCTTTATATAAAACCTCCAAATGTGACTGGGGCCTGTGTGGAGATTCTCTGCTATCTAGTTTGTTT